TCGCGAGCAATATTATCCCCGATGTATACAGGACAGCAGAAGCGGTGCCCTAAACGTCCGCTCTTTTTTTCCAGTCCTCCATCTGTTTACATGGGGTGTCGTTTGGCAGCAGGAGACTGGGCTTGTTTACATGTTGTCCATATGGCTTTGATTGACTCTGCGCAGCCAATAGTGAGAGCATGTAATGAGCCAGACGAATGCGGAGCTCAAGGTCGGACCGCTCTCCTCTTTCCTCGCCGTTTTGTTTTTCATTTATTAAGGAAATCTCTCGGCTAATACGGTTCGACGACATTGCCTGGCTAATCGAATGCGAAATGTCAATATGGCATTCCCGGTGGTACGATGTGCGGTGTGTGGCGGGCTAGTTCTGTTTGAAAAATGTTTTATTGTTGATGGTTTATTTCTATATGGATGAATTATGTTGTAGTTTTATCAACACTTTTGGACAAAATACACTTTTTTGGAGTGTTGAGATGTTAATTTGGAAATCAGACGGATCAGTCAAACCAAATGCATTGAAATGAACCAAGTAAAAGTTAAAGTATTGTGACAAATATGGCTTTTTTGTAGGTTTAAAGCTGGGGTACCTAACTTCCTCCTGCTATAAATATCACATGAAGTTTGTCTCAACAGAAATAGTATTTATAGTCATCTTTTGTGTTGTTGTAAGAAAAACCCTTGTTGATTTGATTTGATTTGACTATTTGGGCTTAGAACTGAATAGCTAAGTGGTGGTCCTCCCTTTTTCACTTTTCTACCTGAAAAAAACTGATGTAAAGACAGGGGTGTGAATCAAATCATGAACCAAATAGCAAGAAACAATTACACAGAGAGAGCAAGAAACAATTACACAGTTTCATTATTTCCCGTGGTTTGAAAGTTAGGTACCCAAGCTTTAACGAAATCTCTAATTTTGCGTCTACGTACTCTCTCTCTTCAGACTCTTAGCCTAGACTTTCTCTCGACCTCTCTCTGCTTGAATGTGACAGTCTCTCAGTCCGTTAAGGAAATGTAAAAATGTCCAGTTATTTATTTACCCTTTAAGACATATTGGCCTCCGCAGGCGACGGCTACAAGTCTCTCACCCGGGCCAATGTTTCTGCTCCATAAATCACCCGACGGATAGAGACGGATGACTCTCTTTCACAGGTTAAAAGGGTACAAATTATGGGTAAGAGCATGAAATTTGAACCAAACTATAGGACATTTTAGCCTCACGGGCACTTATTTCCTTCCTGTTTCCGTTTGGTGACGGGTAAGACAACCTAAAATCATTAAAAATTAAATAAGGAAATGAATAAGTGTTGGCAGATTTTATTATGCGCATAAAGTAAGAGCGTAGATCTTGGGTCTGTCATTTGAAACCATCGGAGTGTGTTATTATTGAGAACGACTTTATCACTTTGAGCCCACTAATCAAATTTCACACAGAAGGTCATTCGTATTGACCACCACTTTGTAAGAAATGACCGTCTATATGCGCAAGTGGCCCGCCAGGAGAAATGACAAAGTTAATGGGTCAAGAGTCTGGGTGGGCGCCAAGATTTAAGGACCAGATCTGTTTTGAAGACGGATGTGTTTGCAAAGTTGACAAGACAAAGCATTGTGTTGCGTCAAATCAATTACAGACGCTGCAAAAAGTTACAACTGAAGTAAAAAATGGCTTGAATATAGGCTAAATTTGTCTTAATTTTGACTGTCTAAAAAGATTAACCAATGGGACACGCGAAAATGTGTTGTTCTAAAATACATTTCTCAGAGCCATTCAACCAAAACTAAAACTAAACTGCTTGTGCCATTTAATGGAACAGTATGTAGTATTTTCATTTTAAACAACATTTTAGAGATGTTCCGAGGTAACAGGTCACAGTTAAAAGTTTAAACTGAACATGACGTCCAGGATATTTATGAGAACAACTTTCAAGCAGATTTTCAAAGACGAGCAGAACGAGGCTCTTAACATTTGGGTTGCCATATTGCTGGCGTTGGTCATTTATCTCTGTTTCTTTTAGATAGCAAAATTCACAAACAAAGTAAGTAATGTTTATTTATATAACCCATTTTACAGACCAAGGTCACCCAAAGCTCTTTACAATGTTCAGAGTGTTCCATCAGCCTCCAACCAACACCATCCATTCACTCTCTCATTTACATTCATACCTATTGTGCATGTTTTTAGTGGTAGGGGAAACCGGAGCACCTGGAGTAAACCTACGCAGACACGGGGAGAACATGCAAACTCCACTCAGAATGGCCCTGTTCCGACCGGGATTCGAACCCAGGACCTTCTTGCTGAGAAGCGAGAGTGTTATCCACTCAGCCACCATGCCGCCCAAGAAAGGTGCACCACACTTTTATCTATAGATAAAAGTTTGCTACATTGCTACATTGCTACATTGTAGCAGTTAGAAAATTACTTATAGGTACAGAATTTGTACAGTTTCTAGCACAACACAAGCAGGTGGATTTCAGTTCTTACAGGAAAGAAGACCTCTAGTAACGTCTATTAATTACATACTGTACTTTGAACATAGTCAAAACAATAGATTAATAGTAATTTTTAGTTTTTTTCCGTATTGTAGCCTTGACCATTATACCATACTGAACCATCCCATGACAGATGTTTATATACTGGTTCTGATTTTTGCTCCAATTTTTTTTCTCTATCTATTCATCTTTAATTCTGTCTTTCCAGCCTCCTTGTCTCCACTGTCCTTGTTGCAGTGTCTTAAAATAATGATTCACGCTTTTATTCCCTTATATATAATCTCCAGTTTGAGCTCCTCCACATGCAGCTTGGATGTACTACCCACTAGATTTCTGAAGTCTGTTCTGAGCAGTCTGTTACCTTCACTCACACAGATAGTAAACATGTCCCTTCATTCTGGAATATTCCCAAAGGCCCTGAAAACTGCAGTCATCAGGCCCCTGCTAAAAAAGAGCAGTCTCGATGCTACGGTACTTAACAACTATCGTCCCATCTCAAATCTGCCATTTATGGGGAAAGTCCTTGAGAAAGTTGTCTACCTACAGCTTACTAGATTTCTTATAATCAACAACTCATTTGATATGTTTCAGTCCGGCGTTAGACCCCACCACAGCACTGAGACTGCTCTTGTTAAGGTTACAAACGATATCCGGCTGAACACTGACGCAGGCAAAGTCTCAATCTTAATCTTGTTAGATCTGAGTGCTGCCTTTGACACTGTCGACCATGAGATCCTCTTACAGAGACTAGAGGACTGGGTTGGAGTCGCTGGCACCGCCCTAAGTTGGTTTAGGTCTTACCTTGAGGACAGGAAGTACTTTGTGGAAATTGGAAACTGTGTCTCAGATCATAAGGCCCTGACCTGTGGAGTACCACAGGGGTCGATCCTGGGACCTCTTCTGTTCAATCTCTACATGCTGCCGTTAGGTCAGTTAATACGCAGAAACGAAGTTTCCTATCATAACTATGCAGACGACACTCAGATCTATGTCTCACTGACTGCAGGAGAACATGGACCAGTGGACTCACTCCTTCACTGTATCCAACAGATCAGTGAGTGGATGCAAAACAACTTCCTTCAGCTAAACGCAGACAAAACTGAAATGATTGTCTTTGGTCCCCAGAAACAAAGAGAGAGCGTCATCTGTCACCTACAGTCTCTCTCCCTAAAACCTTCAAACAAGGTCAGAAATCTAGGGGTAATACTGGACTCAGACTTAAATTTTAATAGCCACATCAAATCAGTAACATCAGCAGCTTTTTACCATCTAAAAAACATTGCCAGGATCAAAAACATAGTGTCTAAAGCAGAGTTGGAGATTCTTATCCATGCATTTGTCTCCAGTAGGTTAGACTACTGCAATGGCCTGCTCACAGGTCTGTCCAAACAGGCTGTAAAACAGCTGCAGTACATTCAAAATGCAGCAGCTCGAGTCCTGACAAGAACCAGGAAGTACGACCACATTAGTCCAGTCCTCAGGTCTCTGCACTGGCTTCCTGTGGCTCAGAGAATAGACTTTAAAACAGCTCTGCTTGTGTACAAGTTTCTCCATGGCCTCGCACCAAAATATATTAGTGACATGTTAGTCCCATATGAACCAGCCCGGACTCTGAGGAGCACAGGGACTGGACTCCTGTTAGTGCCCAGAGTCAGAACTAAACATGCGGAGGCTGCTTTTCAGATTCATGCTGCTAAAATCTGGAACAGTCTTCCTGAAGATGTGAGACAGGCCTCCTCTCTGACAATGTTTAAAACCAGGTTAAAGACAGTTCTGTTTAGCTGTGCATACAACTGAGGGATTTTATATTTGTATCTTTCTTTTTAATGTTCTGTGATTATTTATGCTTTAATGCTTTCTTGTTTTGTTCAGCACTTTGAATTGCCTTGTGTTTGAATTGTGCTATATAAATAAACTTGCCTTGCCTTGCCTATATGTTATCCACCTTTACAGTGTATAAGTAAGTAATGGTATCGGTGATAGACATGGAGTGCGGAGGTGAAAAATGCCTCGCACGACTTGACGTAAATGCAATCTATTTCAAATAAACCAGCGCCGAAGGTCCATTTTTAACCCGGAGAAATGACTGCGTAATTGCCAGAGTTTTGAGTCATTCATTTGGAGCCCTGTCAAGCGTGAAAGAGCACTTACAACACCGTTTAAAAGCTACACATTTTACCAAGACGTCAAACTCCGCTCGCTGGAAAAGATTCTATCTTTGAACTGAATGGTTAGTGATTACAGCCACGTTTGGCTTTCGGAGCACTTTTCTTCTTACTTTGAAAAGGCAGTGAATATGTTAATTTAGAAAGAAAAATAAAACTGCAGAGTTGAGAAAAGAATACCGCAGCAAGGAGTCCGAGGTGCAAGCGTTGATTTTGAAGTAAAAGTTGAATTTAGCTTGTTGCGTTTGGCCACATGGGAGCAACTCTGTCCAGACAAGTTTTCATGCATCTCCAACCTATTTTTTGGACTGTTTCACACGCATGCAAAGGAAAATCGAAAGACCATACCCGCGGCCCCTGGTCGCCCTGATCCCCCTGAAAAAGACAAAGAGAAGAAATACTTCAGAATAGAACATAGCAACTGTTCATAGATTTATTGAGGTATGAACTCATGTTTGAAATGTCAAGTCGGTGACCTGTTGTGCGATGAGAGAGAAGCTCCAGTTTCGCATATAGAGCCTGGGTGGTTGGACTGGGATTTCTTTGTAAAGTAGAACTTGGGGTATTTTTGTTGCTTATTGAAATGGTTCTTATTTAGCTGGGATACCTAACTTTTTACCTATTTTTAAAAAACAAATAATAAATGCTTGTCTGGTTAATCAAACCACATGATTTATTCATCTCAGATAAGATGTAAAGGTTGGCATACTTTTAAGAAAGACCCCTGGGAGTCACTATTTGACGATTAGGGCTGAGAGCTGATTGGCTGAGTGAGGGGTCTTCTTTTTATCTGAAAAAACTGATCTAAAGATGTGACAGAGGCCAAACATACATACTGTACATGTGAAAACCAGTGATTTTACTAGAACGTTATGAAATAAGTGTGGTTTGAAAGTTATGTACCCCAGCGTTAATACTGCTATGGACTTTTGTGGATTAGGGTTTTCTATGGATTCCTTTTCCATTAATTAATTCAAGCAAAAATTGTTACATTCATTATACTTTAATTTAAATTCCTCTGTTTACTGCACATAGGGCAGATACATACCCATAGGTACTGTAAATATATATATATACACACACATAGTTACGAGCAAAACACTTTTCAGTCATTCATCTTGAGTCAACATTGTTCGCTCCAATCGGATCTCCTACGAAAACTAAACAACCATCTTTGCCCGATCTCAAAAACTTCTCAAAAATGTGTGCAATACTTTTACCATTCCTGTAAATATTGTGACTACTATTCTTTGTGGCGGGGAATCAAATCACTTACGATAACATCTACTGACACGGGATATCAGACGGAGGGGGTGAAGGAACGCAGCGGTTTTCTGTGTGAATGTGGTGAAGTTTTGCAGCAAGGCCAATTTCTGAGACCCGGGAGACTCCAGCGCAGACGCTTTTGGCATGAACTTTAAGAGCTCCAGAAAGCAGTGGTTTGAACCTGCTTTTTTTTTTTTTTACAAGGACAACTTTTTCACATCTCAGTCCTGACGTGCTTTTGTCTCACGTGAAAAAACGGCGAGGGGGCAACATTTGGACATTGAATTACTGTCTTAATCTCTTTGGAAACGGGCAAGCGGACATCTCCAGCCCTCTCATTTGCTCCGCTCCCTGCTCCGGTTGGCAGCTTTACAACGCAGCCACAGCAATAAAATGAGCTCAACAACTTATCACACAAGAGCAGGAGTTTTTTGTTCGCACACACAAACTCCGATTGCGAGGCCCGAGTGCTTTCAAATAAAAACAGGTCATGAAGTTTGGGTCCAAAAAAGCTGCATTTTACTGCGGAATGTTTGTGAATGGTTTTCACTAATGCATACCTGATTCATTTGAGTGGGAGAATAAATGTTTATTTATACTGTGTTTTTACCGTCTAAAAGGTTTTCAAAGGAGCGTGCGATGAATACAAAGAAAGGTGCCTGACGATGATTGTAGCGTCCAGTTGATTTTGAGATGAAGTCAGAACTGACGGTTAAATGGTCCTTTTGTCCAGTAACAAACTGAAGACCTCGACCAAAATTGACATTAATAAGAAATTGTTCGTTTTCTATGGTAAAGGTATTTTCTGCAACTTCAATTGTATTTAATTTTTAAAACAATGCATATATTTAACCTATAGTATCACGTTAAGTAAATCTTTTTTTACGACAGTGATGATCCGAGACATATAAGTAAGTAATATCTATTTAGATAGCGCATTTTTACAGACCAGGGTCACCCAAAGCGCAATACACTGTTCAGAGTTCAGATATTGTTTCATTCTATCCACACGGTGATGACGGAAGAAGCGAGACGCCGAACACAATGGTACATCAAAGCCCCACCCAACACCATCCATTCACTCACTCGTTACATTCATACCTATGGTGTTTGTTTTTAATGGTAGGGGAAACCAGAGGAAACCTATGCAGACACAGGGAGAATATGCAAACACCACTCAGAAAGGCCCTGTTCTGACTGGGATTCGAACCCTGGACCTTCTTTTTGAGAAGCGAGAGTGCTATCCACTCAGCCACCGTGTTGGAGATTTAGAGACCTTTAATAACATTTATTGACATTGGTGTCTCGCTGCATTCAGGATCTCAAAGTCTACTTTAGGTTAGCAAGGCAAAGGACACAAGCTGACTCTGAGGGTGCCAGGGCTAATGTCACGTTTATGGATGTTTTGCAGCACGGACGCACACCTGTCTCTGCTGCGGGGCCAGGGGTAGATCAGTTATCGTCTTTGTCATGAATGGACTCCTCATAGTTTTAAGTCCAAAGCCACAAGCACAAAAGTTTTTCTTCCTTATGAAGAACCACTGCGCTGCTGTTTTATGGACCAACTGTCTCGGAGGCATTCATAATAGAACTTTGGCGCCCTGGCTTGCAAGAAGATTTGTAAACGTCAAAAGAATTCGAAACGTTTTAGATGATGAACCCCTACAGCCGTGATGTGTATGTTATTGTATAGAGCAAGTCTCAACCTGGGAATATAGGTAAAAGAAAAGCAGACATATTTGATAGGGCAGTAATTGATTATATGTATAAACTTTACGGTAATCAAATTGAGGGCTCACCTTTTCACCCCTTGGACCTGGAGGACCCTGTGAAAAGAAAGAAAAAATAATCAGGCATAGTTAAATTCAGGCTTTTTCAAAACTCAAGTTACTCCGGTGCCATTGGAGCCGGGACAAAGCCGTTGCGTTCGCCAGAAGTTGTTGAACACGACTTTAAAGAAGAACTGGTGAAATTTGAAGATTAACAAATTGTGTTTTGATTAGGCTTACGTTGTTTATATCCGTGATGGCATGTGAGTAAGATTCAATGACACGCGTTTGGAAAGCAGCAACTTGTGCATCATGGGCTTACACAAACACAATTAGACACAAAAAAAACCAGGCCAACGTCGGTCCATGGTTTCGCAATCCAGCTACACTTTTCGCCAACTTTCTCCAATGTAATGATATCTCGTCATCCTGTCAAGGTTTTCTCAACAATGACCTTGGTTTGATCTGAATTCCTTTTTTTAATTCGGTGCTTATTTTACATTGAAGTCCAAATATTTCAGGAGAAGATTCAATAGGTTTCCATGGGCACCAATCAGCGACTCTTGGGTGGGCCTTGGTGTTGTGGACTGAACGAGGTGTTTGCAACCATACACTTTCCCATTAGTGAAGTGAGCCATAAAGCGGTCACTTGAACACGATGTCGATGGCTGGGGACCAGGTTAAGTCTGCGGTTGAGTTTTGGAAGAAAAATAAAAATCACCATCACCACCAACTGACCGCTTGCTTATTTCTGGGCCATTGCTGGAAACTCTTGTGCCATCGAAAACAACTAAAAACTTTGTGAAAAAGAATTTAACCAAGTTGCCTATTCCCACTAAACATCCGACGTCCACTCAACCTCCAGATCACGTCAATATCGCGTCGGTCGGTCGTGACCTTTTATTTACGTCCAAACGACGTCTGTGCAAGGTGCGCATCTGGACGTAAAACAATGACCTCCCATATACGTGGATATGACGTTCAATCCCGACCTCCCTTAGACGTCGAAAACAGGTCATCGGCTGACCGACGCAGTACGTCTTGATCTAGCAATACAATATATAGGCTGTGAAGCGGTGCAAGTGTCCCTGACGGTAGTGTAGTGGTTAAGCAAATGTGTGCAGCCTTGGTTACGTGAGTTCGAGCCCACGTGTGTGTATTATTATCTTTACATATTTGTTTTGATTTTTAACGAACAATTTTTTTCTGTTTGGTTAAAGACTAATAAACACTCAACATAGGATTACGTAGTGGCTAATAATAAAACTTGTGAATGTATGCATTTGTTGTGCTAACAATCTCAAGTTTGCAAATAAGGGGTGAGCACTTGAGATTGTATGCAAATGCATGGGTTCACAAGTTTTATTATTAGCCACTACATAATCTTATGTTGAGTGTTTATTCGTTTTTAACCAAACAGAAAAATTGTTCGCTAAAAAGTAAAAAGTCAAAAGTTTTCCGACGGGGATTTGAACCTGCGTCGTTGGGACTGAAGTCTCATTACGCAACCGCTACACCACGGCCAGGCATTTATCCAGACTACTGTGACAAAATAATACATAACACCCTAAACAACCGACGCACACTTATGCGCCGCGCGAGTATAACGGCTTTACAGCCTGAAGGGCTCGACACACGGGAGGCGACAAATGAGAGCGATCAGCGAAACTCAACGCTGTCGCCCTGCTTTATTTAGCTACTTGGAATCACCCTCTCTAGTAAGTACACAGTCTGCACAGTTTTTCGATATAGATGTATCATTTCCACATTGAAAAGAGTTGGAGACAGAAAGTAAGTTGTTTTCTCACGTATACGTGGATTTTGTTAAGTATATTTTGTATATTATCTGTATTTTGAATTGCCAGTGCATGAATCTATTGAGAGTGAGGAGCTGACGTCATAGCACAGAGCCCCTCCCCGTCTCCGCCATGTTGGTAGGATCCCAGCGACAAACACTTGTTGTTGTTAACTCGGTAGCAAAGGAGGTCGTCGCTATTTCTGTTTTACCATGCCTGGAGCTCATTGCTGTGTGAAAAACTGCTCCAGTACCTCACACAATAAGAAAGGAAAACGTAGGAACAACGGTTTACAAATTTTTAGGCCACCAAAATGGATACAACATCAGGGAGCGCAAGTGTCTGACCTGACGAAGAGACGCCGGATGGCTTGGTTGGCTGCAATAAGAAGAAAGGACCTTACTTTCGATCTCACCCCCAGTCGATGAGAGTGTGTTCTCTGCATTTTCACTCGGGTACGTCCTAAAATGTCTTTATGTTGTTTTTTTAAAGTTAAGAAGTGTAGGTTACCTAGCTGTTAATGTTGCAAACACTGAAGTGCATCTTAAGTTAGCTGCCTAGCTAACTATCTAACAAACTGTTGCCTCTATGAAAATGCTTAATGGCCAACCATTTTAATGCTAACTAAGAATATTTAAGTTTCTGCTCATTATCCTACCTTGTTGGTGGAATATGGGCACTCAAAGTGTGTTTGTCTCTGTCTCTTATGTTCTCTAAACCAGTGGTGCCCAAACTTTTTTTTTTGTCTTGTGTTTCCACTACCCCCTGAGCCCTTTTATGAAACCATGAATAGCGTTACCTTCTTGTTTAATATTTCTTTAGATTCCAGATTGTTTAATAATTTTATTAATCTGATGTAAGTAAACCATTATATGAGATTGCTAAAAATAGTTGAGATTCTGTTCATGACATTATGCTACCTTGTTGCCAGTTTAAAGCATTGACTACATACATTATTCTGTTCTAGGTAAACCATCATATGAGATGTTGGAGAATCACCCTGACTGGACACCATCCTTGCGGTTAGGCCACAATAATGTTAAAGAAACAGATGGAGCGCGATATCAGCGGCAAGTAAAGCGCAGTACCCAGCATCTGGAGTAGAGCCCTGCACGGGCCTATTATCTGGGCCCGAGCCCGGCCCTGGCCCGAGGGGGTGGCGCCCCGGCCCGGCCCGATATGGTTTCTCAATTTTCAGGCCCGAAACCCGCATCAAGCCCGCCGTTTTTTTTTTTTGTAACCTCCCATAACAATGTTTTATCGTAGTATATAGTGCCGCGCACTGATATGAACGCAGACTTAGCTAGAGGGCGGAGTTATACATGGTAGTGATGTGTTGCAATGAGTTCTGTGTGTGCGGAGGGGTGCGGAGTGAACGGCCGCATCTGTATGATGCCCAGATGCTGCAACACACCTGTAAGTAATGCTATGTGCCGTCAATGACAACACTACACAGAACAACAAACACTACAGCGTGATAGAACGCTATATTCAGTGGGTGCGTTCGTAAATCTATTCTGCCGCTCTGAAAATGAAGAGCCCGTGTCCGAGGTCATTATGCGGTCATCGGCCCGAAGCCCGGCCCTCGGGCTGTCGGGCCGTCGGGGCCCTCGGGCCAAGGGCTCAAGTGCAGGGCTCTAATCTGGAGCAGTCATCACTCCCAGCCCAAGCCCAGCAGCCTCCATCACCAGCCCAAGCCCAGCAGCCTCCATCACCAGCCCAAGCCCAGCAGCCTCCATCACCAGCCCAAGCCCAGCAGCCTCCATCGCCAGCCCAAGCCCAGCAGCCTCCATCACCAGCCCAAGCCCAGCAGCCTCCATCACCAGCCCAAGCCCAGCAGCCCCCATCGCCGGCCCAGCAGCTGCCTCAAGGAAGGATGAGGAAGCTCTCACCCTTCCAGCTTGTCCTATTGACTGTAATGCGCCTCAGATTAGACCTTCCATCTCAGAATTCACGTTGAGAGGGTGATTGGTGTTGTGCGCAACAAATTCAAATTCTTACACTCAACTGTACCTGTGCATATGCTTCTCAAATGTGAGGGTGAAAACCTAATGCCTTTAGATAAGATTGTCACTGTTTGCTGTGCCTTAACGAACATGTGCAAAAGTGTTGTTTGAGTGCCTTGTTCATAACTTATGAACCAACCAGAACCCCTCATGTCATCTGGATCCGAGTCCAGAGTCAGAACCAGACACGGAGAAGCTGCATTCAGCTTCTATGCTCCACATGTCTGGAACAAACTCCCAGAAAGCCTCAGATCAGCTGAAACACTCAGTTTGTTTACATCCAGGTTAAAGACCCACCTGTTCTCAGCTGCTTTTGAATATTTTTTATTCTAATGTACAAATCTGCACGGCTTCTTTTAAGCTGGAATTACTTATCTGTTATCTTTTTCCTATTATTTTTTGTTTTTAAGTTAAAGTTTAAAATATGATATTGTTTTTCATATTTCAAACTATTTTTAACACATTAGAATTCTTAGGTTAGACTGTCCAACAAACTATGTGTTAAAAAAGGTTAAGATTCTTGAGTTTTAAAATAATAATTCAATTCTAAAATGTAAAGTTACTGTATATTTCACAATGGTTTATAAACTGCAAAAAGACAACAGTACTTAGTAAACTAAGTTTAAAAACAGGGAGATCAGCTTTAATATTTGGGACACTCCCATCATTTAGACACCTGTGATGTCATCAGTTGGAGTTGAGTTCAGGTGTGGGACCATAGGGACCATAGGAGCACACAGATGTTACCTGCTGCAGAAAGAGAGTTTAATGTTCATGTATTGCTTTGTTTAATAAATGGATTTAATGTCTTCCCAGGTCTTCAATGTCAGAGACTTTCACTTCTTCTCACTGTGGCTGTTTAAATGAGCCACTACAGTCGTTATTTTTGTTATTGTTAGCTGCAAATATTAAACATCCATTCATCTGCTGGTAGCAAGCTAACTAGCGCTTGCAACTCTATTCAATTTCTTACTTTTTCTTATAAACATTAAAACCAGCCATATGATAATTAAAATACATTTACCTTTGCTAATGCAGTCAATTTTTTGTGAAATCCATAGAGTATAATTTCATGATTGTTGCAATAACTAATGTTCTATGTGTATTCCTAATGTGTCATGTGTGTTTGAGTCTTACAGGTGTCAGACTGTGTTGAAGGTGTTCAAAGGTAAGAATCACACTCTCACACATTGATTGTTGTTCTGTATTAATATGTTGTTTTTAGAATAAACCATTATTTGGTGTATTCTCTTTGAAAACATCTATCTTTTTCTCAGATTGTTCAGCAACTCACTCATGATGAGGGAAAAGAGCAACAAGGGGAAAATGCCCCCTCGGAAATGCAACATGTGTAGAGTAATACAGGGTAAGTAGCTTTCAGGGCTCATTTGTGTCCATGTGCAAAACAAATGCACATTTGCAATTGTTTTTTACATGGAATTACTCCAATGACCAAAGCCTTATCCCAAGTTTCTCAGACTGAGTGTCTTCCAGTGTCTCGAGCTAGTGCAGTGCCAAGGTTTGTATCACATGGTGACGGATCGAGTGGTTTGAGGCATTAATAGAAAGTTATGTGTTGTTATATCACTTTGCCACATTATGTTGAAACTAAACATGTTCCACATTTTCAGGTGCTGTGCTTGGACCTTGTGATGAGAGACTGAAGACCAAGAGAGGACACATGTTGGAACATCAACATTCAATAAATGCATTCTTCTGCCTTTCAGATTGTGTTTTTACATCTGAGGAACCTAGAGTGTAGCTTGTGCCTGTTTTAATACCTGTTTTAATACAGTAGTGTTCATAACACTGTGCCCTGTGTGGTTTAACTTGTAC